CATTTTTCTAGGTCTCCATTGCCATCAAGCTCCAATTCATTGCATTGACCTAGAATGTCTCATTAATCAGATTCATGTACCCAAAGCTGAATTGAAGAATAATTAGGTATGAATTGGTTTGGGTGTTTTGACTTTGATTGTGAAATTCTCTCTAACCCTCTATTTCTTTCTCTATATCTAAAATTCTACGCTTTTCTCTGTGAAATGTTTATGGGTACTTGATGTTCGATTTTTATAGTGTCTTGTGGGAGGCGACAGTGGTGTGTTGCAGGCGTGTGGTAGTATAGGTGGTGGTGGCTTATAGACAACAATGGAAAAGGAAGGGGTAATGATTGGGTAACAAATGCTGGTTGCTAATTTGGTTGGCTTGTGGCTGAGGTGAAGGAGAATGGGGTGGTGGTGGGGTAATGGATGTTGTGCGAGAATAATTTCACACAAAGACTAACCACGTCGTATGGAAGGATGGGGTGGTGAAAAAGTTTCGTGGAATCTGTAAGACAAGAGAACACTTAGGTGAACCGATGGCCAGAGACAATCAAAGAGACTTTGGTACTTAAGTCAGATCACAAGTCAAAGAGAAGTATTGAGTAAATATGATGAGATTGAATGTCTTAACTGGTACTTGGGGCCTTGATTTATAATCTATGAAACACGGATACTTTCACAAGGGTCAAAATATCCGTATCGGATACTTTTGGATACAGATACGCGTCGGATACGTCTGAGAAGTATCCTAAAATTAACAAAAAAAATTAGTTTTTGGATACGTTTTGGATACGCGTGGGATACGCATAAGGATACGGCGGGGTATTACTCGAATTTTAAAAAAGTATAGGGGTACAAGAGCAATATATTTAGGCCCCTTATTTGCAAAAAAAAAAAATATTAAACTAAAAGTCTAAAAGACTAAAACCTGTACACTTTTCTTCCACTGCCCGTCAAGCCCCCCACTCCCTTTAGTCGATACTCGACGAAGATCGTCTCTCTCTCTCTCACTCACTCACACTGACGATCGACTGACTCTGATGGTTAGTTATTATTATATATATTTGATAGAAGTGTGATTTACTTTATAAATCATAATTATTACATTAAATATAATAATAAAATTTTAAAAAATATATATTTTATAGACGTATTCTAGCCGTATTCGTATCCTTTTTTTTTTTTTGGTCGTATTCCCGTACCCGTATCGTATCGTATCCGTATCCGTGCTTCATAGTTTATAATGGTAGGGAGATGTGTCCCAAAGGAACCCGAACTCTAGATTGATTAGCTCAACCTCGTCATCAAGTCCCAGAAGTTTAGAGTTGAGTTAAACTAGAACTCTTGGTCCTTAGTCCTTATAACTAGCTCCTGATTGCTCGAAGTAGCATTTTACCTAGACTCTACCTCTTTGGTGCCCCATCACTAGTTCTTAGATATTCAAAGTGATATTAGATTAGGACTCTAGGTCATAGGTTAATCTTTCACCGAGTAGGACTCGTCTAGAGGAAGTGAGCATGTATGAGGGATGACAATAACTTGGATGGAGTTATGGTAGCTGACCAATAGTAGTTTTGAGTACCAAGTGTGGACGAGTGAGGACTTGCCCAAAGCGAGTGCCGTCTGACAGCTACCAACCAAACCAGTTGTCGACAGGCACTGTCCAGCCAAGGCAGCTTATCGACTGGTAGTGGCCAGCTAAGACAGTTTACCGACTGACAATGGACTCCTCAAGTGTGTGCCAAATGGAATTTACTTCCTAATGCCTAACAGATATGGTGGCTGTCGATGGTCGGGTTGGGGAGTTGCAAGGGCAGCCGATTTTGGGTGAGGTTCTACAAGTTGGGTTGAAGGATTTGAGGAGAAAATGGGAGAATGGTGTTGGATTTTAGTTTGACATTTTTGCCATCAGATTTGCTTGCAAAATGCCAGAAATACCCTTGAAAGTATGCACGACATGGCATTTTCCGTCAATTTTTGTAACGTTGGTTAGTGTCAAGTACCAGATTGGTTCAATGTTTGAACTTTAAGGATAAAATTTGAAATTAAAATTTTAAGGATCAAAGTGTGACAAATGGCAAATTTGAGGGACTATTTATATAATTTACCCATAAGAATAAGCAGTGGGGTGCAGCATGATGGAGCGAGAAATAAAAAAAGAAAATAAAAAAATAAGCAAAGTTGGGTGAACAGTGTACAATTGGTTCTTGTGACCAGTTATTGACTTCCTCTGATTTGTAAAGATTTGCAAATATTATCACTAAAGAAGGTAAAATAAAATAAAAAAAGGAAATGAGATGGTGGTGGGGCAGATATATCAAGTCTCTTACTTGTGTCAATTTCAATTTGTTTTTATTTATTTATAATTAAAAAAAAACTATTTTTTTAAACTAAAGGTCATGTACACAAAATTGCATATCTCTATATTATATAAGTTCGTTTAGTTGCCGTATTATAAATGGATGAATTAAATAATATAATATAGTCTAATAAAATACAGATGAATAAAAAAGAAGATTAAATATAATATTATAATAACATTTAATTGTATCTAGTATTTGGTAATACAACATAAGCGTTTGATAATAGTTATTTAATTCAATCAGTTGTTTGGTTATGATATTATTTCATGGTATTAATATAAAAAATATACGAAAATATACGTTTTTGAATAGAGTATCAAATTTGCTTACTAAATAAAGTATTAAGCCCGATTACATTAAAATAATACAATTCAATATTTAATTCCTGCATAATAAGTCTACCAAACGAGCCCAATGTGAATGTTTCTACAAACAATGAGAGACCCTCAAACTTTAATTCTTTTTTTGTTGAATTTTTAACTTCTTAATTTTAGAAAAACTTACTTGACTTATTTTTATATGAGCAATATTATATGTACTTAGACTTGATAATTATAATTATTGATTTTACTATGTGTCCCAGTATTTATTGTGACCCACTGCCTATTTAATAATTGTGATTATCAAGTCTATTTTTAAGTCCATAGAACATTAGTCTTTTTATAATATCTTATTCTCTTTTTAAATTCTACTTATCCTCTTTTTAAATGTTACTTTATCTCTTTCTTTCTTTTTTTTTTTTAAATATCCTATCTTCTTTAAAACTCTCACTCTTATTTTCCCACGACTCTCACACGGCAAAAAAAGACCTCAAGCAAATAAGATATTACCTTTTTAAATTCTACTTTATGTCTTTTTAAAAAATATCATTATAATTTGAATTCTTTTATTTTGTCATAGAAGATTTGCATAAGAACCACTATCATATTTATTTGTTCTTGTTTTATTATCATGCTCATTGATGTAGATTGTACATATTGTGAATTACGATTGATCTATTTCAACATTATTTGATATAATCCATATATTTATAATGATGTTACTTATATATTCCAAATAGATTACCAACATTTATTTCCACTTTAAAAAAAAGAAATACAAAATTAATCAAATTTAAAACATAGTGAAAACATTTCAGACCCGCTGTTCAAAGGATATATTCATAGACAAATACAAAAACTAATTAAATAACATTATTTGATATAATTTTGTCAAAAACTAATTAAATTAAAAATATAGTGAAACATTTCCGACTTGCTGTTCAAAGGATATATTCATAAAAAAATATGTAAAATTAATTAAATAGAATTATTTGATATAATTTAGTATATTTATAATAATGTATTTAATATTATGCTAAACAAATTATCAAACATTAATTTCCACTTCAAAAAAAAATACAAAAACCAATTAAATAACGTTAGTTGATATAATCTAGTATATTTGTAATAATGTTATTAATATACTACCAAACAAATTATTAAACATTAATTTTCACCTCAAAAAAGAAAGACGAAAACTAATTAAATTAATATGTAGGTGCTTATTTTGAGAAAAAGGGTAATAGAGACAATTTTAGTGACGTGCCGTAGTACCTATATTTTTATGAATGTCATATATTTGGGTTAATTTGTTTTAAACATATTTATCTTTAGAGTCATTTTATTTTGTCATTTGTAGTTGAATTTTTATGTTAAATGAATGAATATGCAGCATATTTTTCACTTTGCTGAGAGTTGGTAAGTTTTCACTTTCATTAATATTGAGTTGACGAACACCTCTGATCAAAAAAAACAAAAAAAGTTGACGAACACTTGGTCGTGCATTGCACGGGTTTTTATTAGTACAAAAGATATAAAAGTTAAAAAAATTTAAAATACTTAAATATAGTTAAAAAAGGCTATAAATAATTAAATAAAAAACTATAACATATTAACGATAGAACTTATAATAATCATTAATAAAACACCAAATCTTACCCCTTCTCTTTGTTAACTTCAGGCGCTTCCCCACGATATTTGTATGCTTGATTAGAAAATATGAGATATGGAGAGAGATTAATTTATGTATATCAATATCTATATAATAAAGTAGCTATATTGTCTGTCTTGAACTATTGGCGTCTCAGTTTGTTTTAATCCGATGGTCTTAATTTGATATTCATTCTTTTTACCACTATAAAACTCTCATCTTTTGTATAGCTCTCTCTTTCTTATAATATTATCTTTTTTTTTTTGTTTTTCCTGTGTTGTTTTTGGTATTACTTTCTCCATAAAACAGGTAAAACTACATGTTATGCAATTATTTATTCCATGAAACTAATTAATTTTTTTTATATCTGATGGCATGTATTGTGTCACTTGCTTCTTAATTTGTAAATAATAGTTAATGTAAATAAAAAATAGTAGATTGATTATAAACACTACCTTAAATTGTAAATTAATATATAATTTGATCAAAAATGAAGGAAATGAAGCTGGCTGGGAAGACAATTGACTGGTTCTTTTAGATCAAGAAGCTCAGTGGTATCAATCGAGCGTCAAAGAAGGCGATCTTTGAGGCTGTGACAGGTTTGGGAGAGGAGCTGTTACTGTAACTGGTAAGGGTTTTGAATTGGGGTTCCTAGACAAAAGAAGTGTTGCTTGTTTGGTCATGGATTACTCTGATCAGGGTTCGATTTTGATGAACATTGTCGATGATGGTTCGACAAACTATGGATACTATCCCAGATTAAATTTCAATTGTGTTAACATGTTGAGATTTGTGAATCTTGGATCGTTCCTTTCAGTGTTGGGGGAATTGGGTTCTGTGTCGTTTGATAATTTGCATACTGGTTCAGCCAGAGCCAAGTTGTTGGATTTGTTGGGTTCTCAATTCTCGTTCAAACCGAATACTAGGTTCCCCTCGTCGGAATTGTATGTGTGTCTGGACAGAGGTCCAGTCCTTGGAGAGATCGCGATCATGTTGCGTGTACTAGCAACTCCAAGTCGTTTGATGACGGAGAGTTCAATAAAAGAGTATTTCTCTTCGGTGGAAAGGTCAGTACTGTGTGTTACTTAGCTGGAACAGCCTGTGGAACCCAGAGTCATGTTTAATCGAAAGGTGTTTGAACAAGAATTCAAACTTGGTTGGAAGCCTGATCGGGGAGACAATAGCCCAGTTTACATATAAGATGACATGGTATCACCAACTAATAATAATAATAATAAACTGTCTTCCTGAGTATAGATGGTCGAGAATCCTGGGCTGGCAGAGTTAAGTTGATGACTGGCTTTGGTTGTTCAGCAAGCAATGTGTGATGTATTGCTTTGTTTTATCTTGTAAGAAGTACAAGTGTTGTGTTGTTTTTTATACTTGAATCTAACTCCTATGGTTGAAAGATAAGATACATGGAGGCTGTGTTTTTTGTTATGGGTGTTTATGCTTTTCCCTTTCTTCTAAGTGCCATATTTTCCTGTCAATAAATAATCAGTTTGTTTATTAAAAAAAGGAACAAGAAAAAGAAAAAGAAAAAAGGGAAAATAGAACTTTACAAAATCAATAATACTAGTTGGATCTAATTTGTTAACAAACTTAACTAATCTAGTTCATCACAACTAAGGGACTTTCGTAAGTCAGAAAGAAGTGTTGAGTGAATAGGATGAGATTGAATGTCTTAACTGGTACTTGGGGCCTTGATTTATAATGGTAGGGAAATGTATCCCAAAGAACTCGAACCCTAGATTGATTGGCTCAATCTTGTCACCACGTCCCAGAAGTTCATAGCTGAGGTAGACTAGGACTCTTGGTCCTCGGTCCTTATAACTAGCTCTTGATTGCTCGGAGTAGCATTTTACCTCGACTCTACCTCTTTGGTGCCCCATCACCAGCTCCTAGATACTCAAAGTGGTATTAGATTAGGACTCTATGTCCTAGGTTAATCTTTCACTGAGTAGGACTCATCTAGAGGAAGTGAGCATGTATGAGGGATTACAATAGCTTGGATGGAGTTATGGTAGCTGACCTATAGTAGCTTTGAGTACCAAGTGTGGACGAGTAAGGACTTGCCCAAGCGAGTGCCGTCTGGCTGTTGCCAACCAAACCAGTTGTCGAATGGCAATGCCCAACCAAGGTAGCTTATCGACTGGTAGTGGCCAGCTCAAAGAGTTTACTGACTGACAATGGACTCAAGTGTGTGCCGAATGACATTTACTCCTAATGCCTCACAGATATGGTGGCTGCTGATGGTCGAGGTGGGAAGTTGCAAGGGCAGTCGATTTTGGGTGAGGTTTCTACAAGTTGGGTTGAAGAATCTAAGGAGAAAATGGGAGAATGGTGTTGGTTTTTTGTTTGACATTTTTGCCATTAGATTTGCTTGCAAAATGCTAGAAATACCCTTGAAATTTTGCATGTGACCTTCACATGACATTTTCCGTCAATTTTTGTAATGTCAGTTAGTGTCAAGGATTAGATTGGTTCAATGTTTGAATTTTGCGGATAAAATAGATGAAATTGAAATTTTAAGGATTAAAGTACGATAAGTGGTAAACCTGAGTGACTATTTATATAATTTACCCATGAGAATAAGCAGTGGGGTGCAGCATGATGGAGGGAGGACTAAAAAAAGAAAATAAAGAAAGAAGCAAAGTAGGGTGAACTGTGTACAATTGGTCCTTGTGACCAGTTATTGACTTATTCTGATTTGTAAAGATTTGCAAATCTTATCACCACAGGACGGTAAAAGAAAAAAAGGAAGAAGCGGAGAGGAAAAAAAAAAAAAAAGAGAGGGAGTGACAGTGAAAGTTGATAAAAGAAAGAAAAAAAAGGAAAGGTCATGTACACAAAATTGCATATCTCTACATTATACAAGCTCGTTTAGTTGCTCTATTATAAATGGGTGCATTGAATAATATAATATAGTCAAATACAATACAGATGAATAAAAGATAAAATTAAATAAAGTATTAGAATAATACGTAATTGTATCTAGTATTTAGTAATATATAACATAAGCATTGAATAATAGTTATTTAGTCCAATCAGTGTGTTATTACATTGATTGAATTATAATACCACATCTCTCGGAGATATTAAAATATCTCTATAATACAGGTTATCGTATAAAAAATATACGATAAATATGCATTTTTTAATAGAGTAACAAATTTGTTTACCAAACAAAGTATTAGACCCGATTACATAAAAAATAATATAATTTAATATTTAATCTCCTCATAATAGGTCTACTAAACGAACCCTATGTGAATGTATCTACAAACAAGGAGAGACCCGCAAACTTCAATTCTTTTTTTGTTGAATTTTTAACTTCTTAATTTTAGAAAAACTTGCTTGACTTGTTTTTATAATATCTTATTCTCTTTTTAAATTCTACTTATCCTCTTTTTAAATGTTACTTATCTCTTTCTTTTTTTAAAATATCCTATCCTCTTTTTAAATTCTACTTTATCTCTTTTAAAAAATATCATACCTTCTTTCTAAAGTCTGCCCGACTCATAAGCGGCAAAAAAAACCATATGCTACTTTATCTCTTTTAACTACAATATCATATCACTAGTACATGCCTGTGCCTGAAGGCACAGAGTAATAAAAAAAATTGTCAATTAAAAGGTATATCAAATAAAAAAATGCTGAGAACATTGAAAAATATACATTCCATTACACCAAAATCTATTATTTCTTCAATCAACCACATGTTCAACAACACTACTATCAATAACATCTGTACCTAAGACTGAAAGTACAATTGCATTTCCCCCCCACCACCGGAAGAAAAATAAAACAACTGTGTATCATTACAGTAGTGTTAGCTAATACCCCTTGCCTAAAGACACTCTATAAAAATTTTGGGCCCACTACTTTGAAAAAATTTGGACAAAATTATCTTTGAACTTATAAAAAAAGTCAAATACAAAAATGAATACAAACACTTCATGAATCATATCCGTGTTGGTATCTTGCATTTGAACATTAAAAAAAAATTATGCTACATTCTAATATTTTGAACAAATTAATTCACACACAATTCTAATCCTACCACAACACTTTCAAGCCAATTTTTATAAGTGAATCTCAACTTAGCAATAAATTTTTTATATAGAATTTAAATCTTGAAGTCTTGGGGGGAATTTGGTGCCTAACCCCTTGTTCGGTCTAATTTACAAAGGATTCAAGCAAGAAACCATATTTTTAGGAAGAGACATTCCCTTCCTTTCTTGTTGAAATATTGTAAAATTTTTGGAGTGTCCAATCCTCATCATCATTGGTGTTTGAATATGAAATGGAAGTCGCATTTAAGGTGATCTATCATTCCTTGATTGTTGAATCTTGCATGAATTAAGGAGTTTTGATTCACCTACATTGGTACCCGAAACTTTGCACAATTGGAGAAGTTACCGCTTACCTTATCTGCCACAAACCTAAAATTTCATCCTTAAAATGTATTGTGATATGTAAGAAAAAAAAAATTTGATTTGCTCATGCCATTTTTTTAAAAACCCACTTACATGGGAATTTATTAAAGAACCAAAATAATGAGAATGCTCATAGACAATTTTAAACTTTGAAATCAAATCCCTAAACATTTGGACTTTGACATGGTCTATTCGTTTAGAGAATTTGAAATGCTCCTTTGATTGGGAATAGTAATGGCCTTGGACTATTGGGGAAAAAATTATCTAGGATCCAAAATCCATCAAAGACAAAAGAATCATTAATTGAATTCCGGTCACCATATTTCAATTCTCAATTAGGGTTTTTCCAATTTTTTTACTTAAAATCTAGTGGGAATGAAAGAGAGGGGGAGGGGAAAAAGAGGAACACAGTGAGAGAAAGAGTTAATGGGTGAGGTATTAGGATAAGATAGGAGAGAGAGTTAGATGAGAGATAAGAGTTTTAGAGTTAAAAGAGAAATAAGAGTCTTAGAGTTAGATGAGAGGGAGAGAGAGTCAGATGAGAGATAAGAGTGTTACAATTAGGGACAGAGAGTTGTATAAGTTAGTATGAGATAGGGAGAGAGAATTAGGTGAGAGATAGAAGTCTTCAAAAAATTTGACATGAGCACCGTTGGATCAATAATCGTCAAGCGATCTGAGTCGCGAAAAGGTAAAGATAAAAAAATCTAGCTACTTTATTATATAGATATCCTTTGTTTAATCAATAGAGTCACTCTAAATGCCAAACTACAGAGTCCCTCTAACACCAACTAAACTTCAGGTTTCTGTTACAATAGTGCTCGAAATTGCTCAGCCCAAATTCAGAACAATGTTAAATAAGATGGGTGTAGTGTAAATCTCTAAGGTAATTGGAAAAATGGATGATGAAGTTGGATCAAAGATAATATATAAGTGGTTCACCTTAGCTGAAAGACCAAGGCTACGTCCACTGCAATGGAGACTCTTGCTCCATAGGATTTCTATTGCTTAAAGAAGAAGAAGATTACAACAGGTTTATGAGCTTAGAGCTAGTGTGAACAGTGTCTCGTGAGTACATTTTTTTTTGATGTCTTTCTTTTAGCATGTGAGGGTATTGTATATACAAGCAGTCATCTAGGATTTTTTGCGATCTTCTTTTTCTTTCGGCTAATTCTGTGGCCCCCTACTTTTTGTGTTGTAGTGGTGACCATTACCCTAACACAATTCGTATCTACGGTCCTTCGATGGAATGTGCACAAACATTCCTTTTACCGGTGAGTATGTGTTCATTAGTGGCTCTAGAAACTATCATCTTGTCCCCTGGACACGTGAAAGGTATTCGAGATCCAATGAATATCGAGCTCCTTGCTCCCGGCTGCTTACCACTGAACTTGTCGTGATCGAGCATGATTGTGCCGGGCAAGATGGTCCCCTTCTTTGAATTATGACCCATTCCTATTGCTGAGCAGATGGGCTGTGGAGGGGTCAGTTGGCTGTCATGTAACCATTGGACCCATTGGATGCTCTGAGTTTTGGATGGGTAGCCCATGCCAAAATCCTATCATTTCAACTACGCTTTTAATTGAATAATTGCATTGTTGAAATTTGTTTTTAAAATTGAAAGCGTATTTCGTAAGTCCGCTTTATCAAATGAAGTGGATATAATGAATCCGCTTTCATTTGAATATTCAACCTCCTAAGGCTTCATTTATGTTATTCCTTGACTTCGCCTCTCTCGATTTTCCCTTCACTGAGTCCTCCTCTTTCTTCCATTATTGTGTCTGATTTTGTCACCTCTAAGTTCAGCCCTTATAATGCACAAACCCTACTGATAAAATCTAAGCGTAGCCCTAGCTTTTTCGAAGAAGATAACAGAGTTTTGGAGCAATGTTCGACTGTGAGATTCGCCTGAGGTGTGACATTCGGCTGTGAGATTCCATTCTAAGCCCTAGTTTTGTCAAATGAAGCAGTAGATTGGTACACACCCATGGGCTAGGTTTGAACCAAGGAGAAGACATCGGTTCATGTGTTGAACACAAAACTTCTATTTAACCAGGTACGTAGAATTGAGTGTCTAATTCAAAAAAAACCCAAGTGTAACTGCAAAATTTTCCCAATGCCCAATGCCCAATTCCCATGAATGTTGAATTCAAAAATCCCCAAGTGTTAGTGCAAATTTTCAATCCTTATTGCCCAATTACTGTGTGATTCCAAAAATCCCCAATTTTTTTTCAATTTTGAATCCTCATTAATGCTGCGAGTAGTTTGGACTGCATCCTTACTTCAGAAGATTATAGTGTGAATGTATATTTTTATTCAGAAATTTATTTTCAACTACATCACAATGTGAAGGCAGCCATATCTGTTTGCATATTTCCTCATTTTCGATAACTATTGATTTGTTGTTTCTGAATTTGATTTTTATTTTGCATTTGTCTATTGCATCTGATTGTTTAGAAAAAAATTGAATTTATGAATCTGTAAGTTTGTGTAACGCCCCAAATACCCCCTCGGACGGCATTACATTCTAAAACCTTTCACAATCATGAGAGCACTAAATAAATCCATAAATAAGAAATTTTTATCCATCAACCATTGATATTTTAACAAAATTCGGGCAGAGTCTCCTTTGTACGGGGAGCTCTACCACAAAATCCAACCTGTGCAATTCTACTATAATGACCACACCGGGTCCAATTAACTACTATATAATCAATCCATCAAATTTACATGTTAACCCAAAAAAATATACCCACAATGGCATGTACATTCCCAAAGAATTAAACTATGATAAGCAGCGGAATTTCAAAAGATAACTAGACTTTACAATCTTTCAAAAAAAACATAGCCTAGTCTAGAACAAAATAGAAGGGCCGCTCTAGGCGTCCACCTCGGGATCTACGCTCCCGTCGATCGGAGTCTC